TTGTCCAGCTTTAACATCGGTATCGATATCGGTTATCGGCTACATGAGTTTTAAAATATCGGCATATCGGATATCGGCCAAAATCCCAATATCCTGCATCCCTAGCAGTAATGCTACGTTCAGACCTCAAGCAGCAGCAAAAACGCGCAAAAACGATGCTGCGCCTTGACGCGCGTCAACCATTGACTTTGCATGGAAACTAGCTGCCTCTGCTGCTCGCAGTTTGAACGTATACGTAATGTTATGGAGCATTTTTTGTTCCATTATTGATGCAAACAAAGAACGTGTTATGGAAATAGAAATTTTAAACTTCCTTAATCAAAATCAGCTTTTATGAGCAATTCTGCGTTTTTGTTTGAGTTTATTTTTCAAGCTGTTTCTCATATTTCATTTTTTTTGTCCAGGTTAAATTTTTCTTTTATTTCTGTTTTTCAGCTTGACTTTTACAATTTGCCTTCTTTCCAAATTGCATTTTCCAGATCATATTCTCTTCGCTTCAGGCCAATACAAACGCTCGCTCCTACTAGCATCCCGTAGAAGCGCGTCATCGTTCCTCTCTACAGAGGAAAGTCTGATCCCAGGAGATAAGAAAATGTGATCTGGAAAAGGCAGATTGAAAAGTACGTAAATTGTCACATGAATTCAAATTTTTTTTAATTAAAATTTTCCTTTACCAAAGGTTTTCTTTGCTTTTAACGATAATGGAACAGAATTCTCCCCATATGCTGTTTGGCGGCCATTTTCCCCTTTGAACATTGATGGTTAAATGATTGAAGGTGATTTTCAGCCTGAGACGCTGAACTTTTCAGAGTTCAGACGGGGTTTGAATCTGGTTCCGGTTGTTTCCGCCTGCAGTCTGTTGTTCTGAAGCTAACCAGAACCTCCCTCCCCCCCCTCAGGCGAGGACTGAACCCCCCCCACAGAGTGAAGTCCATCTCTATGACCACCTTCACGCAGCAGGAGATCGAGTTCCTACAGAAACATGGCAACGAGGTACAGCGCCTGTGTTTGTGACACCTTCCTGTCTGGGTTTAGCTTTGAACTTTCTAACCCCCCCCCCGTCTCTGTCCTCCTGCCTTCTACCCCCACCTGGAACCCCTCCCCTCTTCCTGTTCCTCCCCGTAGGTCTGTAAACACATCTGGCTGGGCCTTTATGACGACAGGACATCGGTCGTTCCGGATTTCCGAGAACCGCAAAAAGTAAAAGAGTTCCTTCAGGAAAAATACGAGAAGAAAAGATGGTAACTCCGCATTTAAACATTTGAACAGATTCAGATTTTCTTTTGTTTTTGAAACAAGATTCTGAAAAGCAAACGGTGCACGTGTTTAGTCAACCTATCCACACTGCAAAAAAATCCTCTGAACATTTTCCCATATGAAAAAGTTTGGGCACCATATTAATCCTAATTATTTTCATTTCTAAATATTTGGGTGTTTGCAACAGTTACTTCAGTTTGATATATCTACTAACTGATGGACACGGTAATATTTCAGTATTGAATTGAGGTTTATTGGACTAACAGAAAAAGAGCAGTCGCTTCGTGTGGCTTTTTCGTATGACTGTAAGATGATTTATGTTTAAAGTGGGAAAAAACAACCATTATCTATTTTTAATGTATAATATCTAATCATTTTCAAGTTCAAAAATACCCAATTGGCCGATCAGCTTGTTTTTCTCCTCAGATTATTTGCAAATGCACTCATCATAAGAAACGTATTGTTTATTCCTCCAGTATAAATCCTGCTGTTTAGAAACACTTTGATAGAAGTTAGAGGATCAACTTCAGCTTTTTACTCCAGTAAAAGTGTAAAAGTACCATTTTTAAAACTACTTAAAGTATAAAAGTAAAAGTAATGCAGGAAAAACTGTTAAAGCCAGAAGCTTTACTGCTCTACTCTATTAAAGGAACATTTTTCTACAATTCTGGATGAAAACTTCCTTAGATTTAGTTTTCTTATATTTATAACTAATGGTAACAGCATCTCATTTAACTTTGCATCATCTGGAAAAACTCTTTATTTTGGAATGTGGTGAGCAAAGAAATTAAATGAAACTAAACTAATGAGTCTATTTTTAAAATGTGAGGAGAAGGAAAAAGTTGTCAAAAGATAATTTACTCCAGTAAAGTATAGATAGCCGACATTTCTACTTAAAGTCGTAAGGAAATCATATTTAAATGTCAAATCATTCTGGCTTAAACGTGTATATAAATGTTCTCTTTATCAGACCATATTGTCCCAAAATTTAGAAAATTTCTGTTCAAAAAAAAAAAAAAATCGTGCATTAAAATCTGTTTCTTTCCCGTTATCTTCTGCAGGACAGTTAGTTCTACGTCAGCCTGAACGCCGAAATTCGGCCAATCATATATCAACGGTCATCTGTCAATCAATTTTGTTCGGTCATAGAATCTTGCTTCATAGTGTTAAATGAGGAAGTTATGTCCCCTTGAAGGCGTTGCGCCTCAGGACTTCCCTTCCGGTTCTTTTCCTGGGTAAAACCATATAAAAAGGACTCTAAAAACAGGAGTAAAAAAGTAACAGAGTTTATTCCAGATCAGGTCGTTGCAGGACAGAGAAAAAAATCACGTCCGCGAGCGTCCGGCAAAGATTGAGCCCCGAACAAGCTCATCTCCTGCTTCTTATAGCTCATGAGTCTATGTGTTGCACCAGATGGATGTTTAGCTGTCCGTATCAGAAACTGAAACGCCATCAATGCCCAAGGATTACAGATAGCTCTCCTCTATCAGTCCGGCTCCAA